AAAAAAAAAAAAAAAAAAAAAAATCCACATGAAAAATAAATAAAATAAAATAAAATCGAATCGAATCAAACCAACCCTTCCTCCAAAGGCTCGGGAAATATATCCTTCGAACTCTTCCTGGCCGATGACGAGTTTCCATTATTATTATTATCACCACCATTAAGGGATCCACTCATCCCGGACCTCTTCCCACTGCTCGATTCCTCCACTTTAATCGCTGATGTGGCAGCGGCCACCGCCGCTGGCTGAGCCGCCACGTCAGACGAGCTGTGCCGCCAGCTTCCGAACAATGCAGCATTCCACGAGCCCCTCCGCTCCGAGCTCGTGTGCTGCTGCTCGTCTCGCACGACTTTTAAGGGGTTTTCCAAGGCCTTGAGGATATATCGCATTAAGGGCCGCCTATTCGGCTTTGGGTTGAGGCACGAACGGGCCACGATGGCCATGGCCCAAACCTCTTCAAGAAGGTCCTCGTCGATCATAAGGGTCGGGTCCAAGATGTCGGTCACGAGGTCCTTGTCGTATATGCTGATGTGGCGAAGGGTGGAGTCGAGCCAATCCTTGGTGGAGGAATCAGGGCCGAGTTTTCCGGTCACGAGCTCGAGCAGGACTTTCCCGAAACAGTAAACGTCGTACGCGCATGTCGCGTTAGGCGTGCCTGGAGAAATTTGGAATATTTTTTTATGAGTGATGATGATATGATTGAAATATATTTAATGAAAGACCGATAAGTTTTCAATTACTCGATTTTCAATATACATAATATGTGTAATTATTAAGCCTGTAAAGCAGCCCAGCCCAGCCCAGCCGATCCGAGCTCGAGCTTAGGGTGCTCAAGCTAGAGCTCAAGTTCGGCTCGTTTATCACTATTAACAAGCCGAATTCGAGCCTTAACGATCTCGATCTTTAACCAGCCGAACTATAGAAAATTATATAAAATTCCTCTTTTTGAGCCTTAATAAGCCTTAGGGTGCTCAAGCTAGAGCTCAAGATCGGCTTGTTTATCACTATTAACAAGCCGGATTCGAGCCGAACTATAGAAAATTATATAAAATTCCTCTTTTCGAGCCTTAACAAGTCTTATCAAGCCAAGCTAAACAAGCTCGAGCTCAGCTCATAAGGTCTCGAGCTCGAGCTGAACTCAAGCCTTAACAAGCCGAGACGAGATAGGCTAGTTTAATAACAAGACTAGTACTTATACAAACCGGCTACATTCGCTGGTAGATCTTTGGGCCAATCTTCTCATATGTTTCGATGTTTTTTTTTTTTTTTTTTTTTTTTCTCATTCTCAAGCAGTAGAAATAGAAGTCAATGATTGAGGGGATTTTCTCCAACTATTACGAAGTTTCACTCCATCGGTTCAAGATAAAAACTCTTTTAAGCTCATAACATAAGGTTTCATGTAGAAAATGAAAATGTACAAGAATAGTGACAGGCATAAAGGTTACTAACTAACAAATACTCGAAGAAAATAGAAATGAACTAAGTAAAGATTTTGGCCGGGTACTATATAGGATTAATCAATAATTTATTGCCTGAAAAGTAACTAGATAAACGCGCAGAGTTAATAAAGTTTCGACCTTTGAAGCTTGAAAAATTTTTAAGCCTATAAATCATTTTCAAAATACGCATTATTCAATTTGATTGCTATAAGTCTAGTTTCAATAACGGTATTGCGAATCTTCATGCAATTAAGGAGGCACATTATACAGACACAAAAGATGTATATATTATGACACAAAAGACTTAACAACAGTTTGTAAGTACCTGAAGAACCTTGGTCCGATGACCTGCAAACAAAGAATGAATGATAAATAAGGTTACAGCAAATCAACAATAGGGAAAGTCGTATTGAATGCAGTAGTAAAATATAATACATATGATAATGTTAGGAATATGCACGAGGGACTTGCATACAAATTTTGTTTCACTTTAGATTAGACACCTCAATAGTGAGAGAATGAGAGCTTCATATATTCGAATATTTCCATCCAAAGACAAAAATTATAAATATTTAAGAATATATATATAATTGCAAATGTAAATAAATACTCACTGTGGCAACCGAAGAAACTTTGTAATCCGACTTTGATGAATATCACCTTCCTGAGCACAAACCTCACTCAAACTTCCTAACCGAACTTCGAACTTATCATCGAGAAGTATGCTGCTGGCTTGAACATCTCTGCAGAAAATATAAGGACAAACAAAATAAACGAACATCGTTTAGAGAGAAACTAAAGGGGCAGAAAATGATTTAAAAAAACGAACTTTATAAGAACAAATACTAACTCTATTTCTCTTATAGCACGGAATATTCAACGAAACTAAGTTCAAAATCAAAGAATGTGTAAATGTTCTCTGTGTACACAAACATAGAAAAAGCTGCAATATTTAACTAGTTTAAACAAGTGTTCATAACAATATATTTTATGATAAATCCCGCTTATTTAATTCACTGTTTTCCTGTTTTCTACGTTCGAGATAAGCTAAATCCCGTGGAGAAAATGTATTAGATTCGCACAATACAATATGGATGGCTATCACAACACAAACATAAATGTGTGTCATCAATTCTTTAAGTGCTGAATACATGTCCGATTTTGACCTGATGTTGAGTTCATAAATTCGACCATGCAACTCTCTTAAGTACCATAGCTGGTAAGAATATATAAAGCGATTCCATTACATAACTAAAATAACATAATATACGCTCTTTTCCATTCACGTAAATTAAATATCAGCTATAGAAACAATAAAGCATAGTATAATATCAAGCGCATATTAAATCCACATCATAACCCCACGAGTCAAAAAAGGGGCAAATATATCGTCAAATATTACCTGTGAACGAGCGGCGGATTACACTCGTGATGCAGGTAAGAAAGCCCCTCAGCTGCCCCGATCGCGATCTTCAGCCTCGTTATCCAATCCAACGACTGCAAACTCCCGTCCGGGCCCACCTTCCTAAACAGAGAGCTCGACAAATCAACATTCGGCATGTATTTGTACACCAAAAACTTCTCATCCTCCTTCTCCAAACAATGCCCCACGAGAGGAACCAGTCGAGGGTGCGAGACTTTACTGAAAAGCTCCAATTCCGAAGCGTATGACTCTTTCTTAACAGACGAGCTTAGGTCGAACTTCTTCACGACTACAGGCTCCCCGCCCTCGAGCACCCCACGGTACAAATCGCCCGAGTGCCCCTTTTTCAATAAATTCTTCTCGTTAAAATCGCCAGTGAACTCGAGAATCTTCTCATACGCGAACTTTTCCCCGAGGCTCGTGAAATCCAGAATCTGGCCTTCAGGCGGCGGCGGCGAGCCTGCAGGGACAGGCCCAACGGTGACGACACCCCTCTGGCTCGTCCGGGCCCGCCTGCGCTTGCACACGATGATAAACAACATGATAATAAGTAGAAGAATCCCAATTAGCCCGATTCCTCCCAATACAGAAGCTAGTAAAACGACCGATCTACGGCTCCTCCTGCCCGGACGATGAGGTGGCAGAGGCGCGTTTGGCTGCCCGAAATTATCGAAAACTAAATTCCGCTCGGCGTAAAACGAGGAGCACTCGGCTAGGCTCCTCTGAGTTGTCAAGTTCCGGAGGCAATTCCGGTCGAGGAATTGCGTGGGCCCACGCGCGTAGATTGGGATAGCGCCTTCGAAGTAATTTCCCGACAAGTCTACGGAGCTAAACCTCGTGATAAGGGGAGTTATACTTCCGTAAAACGAGTTTCGGGATATATTTAACACTGAGGCACTACTATCATTAGTAAGCCTTGGACTTGGAGTGGTGTTACTCGGCAGTATACCGGTGAAGTTGTTACCAGACACGTCGAGAAACTGCAATGACGGAATCGACCAAAGCGTATCTGAAAGTGTTCATATTCAGTATATTGACCACTAAATGATTAGAGCTCAAAAACACGAAAAAGAACTAAAATGCGAATTGAGAGACAAAAGGGAGGAAAATCAAATTACCAGGCAGCTGTCCTGTAAGGAAATTGCTCCCGATTAACAACCGCCGGAGGTTTCTGAGGGCTCGAAAATCCGCTGGCAAAGGACCCGACAGAGAATTGAAAGCGAGATCAAGGTTGATCAAGCTGGAAAGGCTGACAAGTTGTGTGGGAATCGAAGAGGAGAAGCTGTTCCTCGATAGATTCAAGAACTGTAAACCGGAAAATGTCCCGATTTCAGGAGGAATTGGTCCCGACAAGAAATTCGACGACAAATCGAGTACAGTGAGGTTCCGCAGTACGGAGAAGGGTGCCGGAGTTTGGCCGGTGAGCATATTCTGCGAGAGATCGAGCACATTGAGAGACGTTAACTGGCCTATACTCGACGGAATCACGCCTGTGAGGTTGTTGTTGGACAAATACAGCTCGACTAAGCCGCTCAAATTGCCGAGGGTTGCCGGAATAACGCCGTTGACGGAGCAAGACCTGAGATCGAGCACCTGGAGTGCGCCGAGCTCCGAGCCGAGCCATTCTGGGATCGAGCCGGGTAGCGCGAAATTCGAGGCGTTGAAAGAGGACAAAAGGGTCAGATTACGGAGGGCATCGACCGAGAATTGAGGGTTTCGACTGCCCCTTCTCGTCCTCCGGAAGCCGGAGATGCTTATTCCGGTGACTCTGCCGCCGGAGCACTGGATTCCGACCCACGACGCGCACGGGTCGGATTTTATGGGCCATTCCCTGGCCCGCAACCCTAACGAAGATCTCAACTCGAGCAAAGACGACCTGTCCTGCCCGGAAATCGAAATTCGCTGCCCTAACGGGCAGCCCGAAAGCAGGAAGAACAAAGATAAGCAGAGAAAAACCGCCCGATCCACCATTGCTGCTCAAACTTCATCGAGCTTGGGAAAACGAAACAGCCCTTGCATTCATACAAGCATTCGCAGTTCTTAAGGATTTTTTAGGGGCTGTTCGTCTCTGCTTCGATTGCATATCTATCCTTAGTCGGAAAATAGATGAAAGCTGTAAAGATTGAAGCTTTTTTCTTTTTTCTTACCTTTTTTTTGTCAAAATGATGAGTTGAAAGTGGATCAGATGAAGAAGCTCTGACTTGATTCCTTCTTCAAAGCTCCATTCCTTTTGTTCTCATTTGGGATTAAAGAACAAAAAAAAAAAAAGGAAAAAAAAAATAAATCTCCCCCAATTTCTCTCTCCTAAATTTTCCCGTCGACGGAGTAGAGAGAGAAAGTGGGCTTTTCGCTTTTCAAGAAGACAAAGTGGGTTCTTTTTAGGTGTAGAGAGAGAAACAAAATGGGGATGGATGAAAAAATTAGCTGAATAATCAGTGATGTTAACAGTAGAGACGACCAGCTTTCTCTCTCCTCTCTCCTTTCTCTCTCTTCCCTCTCTCAGTCCCTCTCAAGTTCTCAAATAATCTGAAAAAGGTATATAAAATATAAAAAATATATATATATATATATATCAAATTATATAAACACAGCAAGAAAAGTACCAATCTTTCTGGATTTTCTCAATTATTTTCCCCTTTTTTTCTTTTTTCCCAATTTGAAAGTACATTTTTTTCACCAGAGAGAACTCCGGTGAACGTTAATCGCTGATCGCCGGTGATACCGCCGGGCACGGCTCATCTTAAATATTTTTTATGCTTCCGTGTATTGTACATTCCGCAGGCCGTGTTGTACACTCGACACTAGTTTACTCCACCGGTAGTACTCAAAAGTACTTTATAGTATATCTCTTGATTACTATCAACTACTCCTAGTATCTATGTGCATTTGATGTACATTGGTTAAAATTAGTTAAATATATTAAAATTTGATTAAGAAAAATTGTTTATAAATGTATATTTTGATAGTGAAAATATATATTTCTATTTATTACTTGCAAAAAGTGTTATACATCTTTATAAAAATGTAATTTTATCCAATAAAAATGTCCTCAATTAGTCAATTTATCCAATAACAATGTCCTCAAATAGTCAATCTCATTTACTTGACTAAACACATAATTAACAATATATCATCAATTGAATTGATGAAATTGATTGATATTCATATACTGAATTTCAATAATTAGATTTTTTTTTTTAATGATTGTGAACTTATATGACCTCTAAACCTACTATAGACATGCATGCTCAACAATCATACAAAACAAATTTAATGAATTTATCATGCTATTTGCAACATAACCTTCAATAACTTAGGTTAAGGCTATTTTTTGTACGAACAATAAGCTAGTTTATAGTTTATTTGATTACCTAAGTTTCATATATTTAAATAAGCTCTGTTTGGAAGGACGAGCTTATTTAAAAAAACTCGAGCTTATTTGATAAGCTTCTTTAGATAGTTTTTCAAATAAGCTCGTTGAAATTATAATTTCATCTAGCTTATCAGCTAATTTTATCGAACACTTTTATCGTATAAACTAGTTTTTCATCTATAAGTCATAAGTTATAAGTTCGAAAATTATTAATAAACTATAAACTAGTTTATCAGTTGTCAGCTGACTTGTCAGCTAATTTTACCAAACATATCAGACTTGCATTGTTTTTGAAAAGTACAGCATATTCATAATATTTTTTTTTTCTTTTTGGTACAGTGGGGGAGGGGACTCAACAAGTCACCCTACGATCTTAAGCTACTCCAACAACATCATGCTCAAGCCTATTTTTATTCATAATATAAATTGCATTTCTATTGTAAAATTATATATGCAGTTATGCACATTAAATATACCATCAAAGGCATAAAAATATATTGATAATTTTTATTCATGATGCGTGTCCAAGTTAAAAAATTGCCTCACTCTAAATTAAGAGCTTATTTGGTATATTATAATTAACTTAGGTGATTGACATACGGGTTTCTATTATTTTATTTATTATATTATAGGGATTATATTATAGGGAGTGAGGAGTAATGCTCCAGCACATGTTAGTAGGTCCATCGTTTATGTGGGATACACATATTTGTGATGTTAATATGTTCAAAAAAATATATCACCAATGTGTGCATGTCACATAAGCGGTGGACATATTAACGTGTGCCCACCGTGAATAGGGGAGCATTATCAAGGGAGTGAGTGTGAAAAAGTTTGAGCTTTCTAAAAGACTTGCTAGTTTAGAGAGTGTCTTCAAAAATAATTATAGTATAATTTATTTAATTTAATATATATTGAATGGGTTAGTTTTATTATTGTTTAGCATAGTTGGAAAATCATTTATCTGGCAATTAGACTTGCACAGACTATCATCTATATTGCATTCACTGGTTTTAATTTTTACAGCTGTTACAACAAAAAAATAATAATAACAAAAATAAATAAATAAATAAACAAATAAAAAAAGGTGGAATCTTATTGCATAGATCATGTAAATAAACCAGTAGAATTGTATTACATACATACATTCATATAATAATATAGTTAGGTGGGCAATAAAATTTTAAAATTAAAATGTCATACCTTGCAAATCAATATATATTTAACTTTCATAACATAATTATACATTTTTGCTATAAAAAATACTAGTATTAATACTCATGTAAAATATGGGTGTTGAGTTAATGAATGTATGTTTAAAGTTATTTATGTCTAATATCAAACCTAACTCTAGAGCAAAAATAATATAAAATAACGAAGCACAGATTTTCGCCATGTCAGCATCCGAAGTGTGAGAATCTGCCACCTAAACTCAACGCGTTTTGAATTAATATATAGGGAGGGATGACATGTCACACTCGTGTTAAGGCAATCTCATCCAATAATTTGTGACATTCTTAAATTAAATTCCCTTATATTTGTGAGACTGTTAATTTCAAGGGATTTTTTAGAATCATATGACTAAATGCAAAAAAATTGTACCTAATAATTATGCATATCCAAAATGTTGTATTGTCAATCATAAATTTTTTTTTTAATCAATTGTGGACAATCAATATCCGAGAATAATTAAAAGATGCCACAATGGAACTTGTAAATTAAAATAGAATGAATATTTGGTTATTCACATGCCATTTCTATATATTATTCATTTTTTTTAGAATTGGCTCACATATTTTGTAGCCAATTTGAAAATCTATACTTATATAATAAGCTATCTTATTTACCAAATTTAGTAGGTTGAAAAGTCAACATAATTAATACATTGTTATTTATATCCAGAATTTTATTTAATTATTTTATTTATTTGTCTTATATCCCACAAAATCAATTTAAGAAAAAAAAATTCATAACATCTGATAAGTAAAAAAAAAGACGTAAAAACTTTACTAAAATAAAAAAAGGTTTTATTTATTTGCCTTATTCCATATTAACATCAATTTTGTCAAAATAAATCCCATAAAATCGGTGAAATCAAAATTTGTACGTAAAATCTATATATATTAAAAAAAAGACAGATTCAAAATTATTTATCCAATTTCTTCTTTTTCTTATCTAATTCCTTTATATTATCTAATTGTATGAAAATTTGTTCTGATTTTGTTCAATCTTCTATTGTATTTGTATTATATCCCATAAAATCGTTTTAACAAAAAAAACCCTATAACATCCGATAAGTAAAAAAGTACGTAAAATCTCTATTAAAATAAAAATACTTTATTTATTATTTAATTTATTATCTAATTGTATAGAAATTTGTTCTGATTTTGTTCAAACCGATTTATGTACATTCAGATTCAAATTTTATAATAAAAATATTAACAACAATATATATTTACTCTACACATTATAAATTACAAATCTCAAAATAAATTATTTGAATTTTTGTTTTAATTTCGAAATTTGAAATGTATATTTTAAATTTTTTTTGTGTATGTATTTAGATACTTTTGTACATGTTTAATGAAATATATTTTAGATTTTTTTATTATATTTTCAGATTTGCAATTTGGTTTATTTATTCTACATATCGTGTATGTATTTAGCAAGGTTTTAAATAGCGGGCTAAAACGTTTATGGCACTGTAGCTATAGCGGAGCTATAGCGGAGATTTAGCGGGATTTAGCGGCCAAATTGCACATGAATACAAATAGCGGCACGCTACCAAAAAAAGCTATTTCTCAAATAGCGGCAACTTTAGCGAGCTATTTATTTCCTTGATATTTAGATATTTACATTATTTATATTTATGTATTGTAAAAACGTTTATTGAATATTGCATCTTATAGTATAATAATCCCCAAATAAATATATTCCATGTCTCGCATAGGTCACATAATTATAAGGCTGGATAAATGACCTTAAAATTGTGCACCCCATGCGTCACACGAGCTCTAAGTACAGAGCTAATAACGAATAACCAATTATACGAAAAAAATATAGGAAATTTGATTGTAATAATTAATTAGAATTTAGACTAGCGGACAGTATCACCAATTTATAAATTAATGTTTTGTATGCTACAGTTTTGTATAGCTACTCTTAAAATTTTATGTCGCTTTATATTATTTTATAAATTATCTATAATTAAAAATAAGTTAATTAATTTGTAAATTTAGGGGGTCAATCATGTAAATAGAATTCAATCCATTACTTTAACGGGAGATGCTACAGTCTCGTTACGGAATCATCTCGTCGGGATTTGTAACCGTTACATCAACTATCTTCGACGATTACATGATTATCCAACGATTACAAATTCCAGTGGAATAGTTTCGTAACGGATTGTAGCATTTCCCTAATTTAACATCAATCCTCTAACAATCAAACGAACTGTAAATTAATAACTTTTATTATATGTTATTACTGGTTTTTGGTTTATTATCACTTAATTAGGCTTACAAACAGCATTTATCTTTTTTTTTTATTTTTTTTATAATTTTTATTTTGGGAATGTAACAATAAAAAGAGCAGGTAA